CATACATTCCTTGTTCCGATGATTAATGGATGTCTGCGGCTGTTTCTCTTCAATTTGAGTGGTGCCACATCAGCATGAAGGTCTTGAAAGCTTTCTCTTTTCCATATGAGTAAGGCTGGATTTACTCAGATGTTGCAGCTCTTTCCCAGTCCTATTTTGCGAGCCTTTTAGCCTAAACGGACTATTCTTAAGTTGCACGGTAAAGAGGAACAGTCAGCCACAGGGACCCAGGTGGGGGTGATACGAGAGGTCTCCAAGACAAACTTGCTCACATACAGATTGAATGAATATAGTGAAAGGATAGATTCCTGACACACTCCCTTCCTGATTTTAAACCATGCAGTATCCCCTGGTTCTGTTCAAATGACAACCTCCTGGTCTATGTACAAGTTCCTCATGAGTACAATTAAGTGTTCTAGAATTCCCATACTTCTCAATGCTATCCATAATTTGTTGTGATCCACACAATCAAATGTGTTTGCACAGTCAATAAAACACAACTGAACCTCTTTGTGGTGTTCTTTGCTTTCAGCCACGATTCATCTGACATCAACTATGACGTCCCTTGTTCCACGTTTTCTTCTGAATCCAGCTTGCATTTCTGGAAGTTCTCTGTGAATATACTGCTGTAACTGTTTTTTGAATTATCATCAGCAGGATTTTATTTGCTTGTGATATTAATGAGGAGCTCTGCTGGCATAGTACCTAAGGCATTTGACTGCTAACCAGAAGGCTGGTGGTTCAGACCCACCAGCCACTCCTCAGAAGGAAGATCAGGCAATCTACTTCCATAGATATATTGCCTTGGAAACCCAAGGAGGGGTTATGAGTCGGATCTGACTCCATGGCAGTGAGTTTGATTTTTTTTTTTAAATGGTGATATTAATGATACTGTTCAATAATTTTCACATTCTGTGAGATCACCTTTCTTTGGAATGGGTACAAATATGGATCTCTTCTAGTCAGTTGTCCAAGTAGCTATCTTCCAAATTTCTTGGCATAGATGAGTAAGTGCCTCCAGTACAGCATGTTGAAATATCTCAATAGATATTCCGTCAATTCTTGGAGCCTTTTTTTTTTTTTCCCATTCCTTCAGTGCAGCTTTGACTTCTTCCTTCAATACCATTGGTTCTTGATCGTATGCCACCTCCTGAAATGGATGAACATTGACCAGTTATTTTTGGTACAGTGACCCTGTGTATTCCTTCCATCTTCTTTTGATGTTTCCTGCATCATTCAATATTTTGCCCATAGAATATTTCAATATTTCAACTTGAGGCTTGAATTTTTTTCTTCAGTTCTTTTAGTTTAGGAAATACTGAGCATGTTCTTCCCTTTTGGCTTTCTAACTCCAGGTCTTTGCAAAATTTCATTATAATAATTGACTTTGTCTTCTTGAGCTGCTCTTTGAAATCTTCCGTTCAGCTGTTTTATCTTGT